AAACATGTGCCTTCGGCGCCTGCAAGCGCAAAGCTGTCTGTCTACTTCCCAAGGCAGGGACCCGTAAAGTGCAGGTGTCCCAAACTCCTGAAAATATACGCCCCCTCATAACCTGATAACTCGTTATCTTACGGCGGCCATGGTGGGAAAAACTTTTGACCCTTGTCCGTAAATTTAGAAAAGACAGTGAACGAGTAGATGTTATTGGATGCTCTACCTACGAATTGCAAGCTGTTGCATTTACTTACGTTCGAGTGCCACCGCTATGTATGACCTCTCGGCTTTGGGTTGAAACTCAAATATATATAGATTTCCGTTGCGAGCGCGGCTGTAGCTATTTTTAGAAGAGACTGGTTTCCTGCTTCTCTCCTCAACGACCTGGTACCTTGGCGGCTCCCTAATAGTTAGCGAAGGCAGTGTAGCATCAGCGCAGAATACCCAGGGAACCAGGCTAACACCTCAACAGAGGCCCGGGGCCAGTCTGTTTTCACCGTGACCCTCAAAATATATGGTTCAGAGATCACTTATCACCAAATCAATAATATGATGTTAACCACGCACAATATAGATTTAAAAAGTTAACATATATATTATATTTATTATTATTGTTATGAATATATCCTGTATTTATACGTGTCTTTATATTGTTATATTTGGTTATTAGGAATTTATTTTTATCGAGTACATATAAATTCAGTCTTTCAATCACTGATCCAATATTGGCCCGTTCAAGTTGAAGACATTCAATACACTAATTGGAACCCAATCAGCCACCTAACCTCAGGTCTCAAGTCTTTACGCAACATTATGTCTCACCTTATGTATAAAATCAATTCATCAATTTTCGCCGGGGTTTGTTATTAGCAAATCATCGTAATGATGAAATGCATGTCACCATTTTAGAAATATTTCAGCAATATCACCATAGATAACACCAGAAACGGGCTTCACACATTGTACCCATGTAAGGAATCGAACCCGGGTCCTCGGCACGACGAGCGAACGTTTTAACCACTAGGCTACGCCACCGGTCCGGAACGGTTGTTGAAACTGAGGATATCTAACCACGATGTTCTCTGTTTGAGCGTAAAAAATGCCAAAACACACAACAAAACATAGACTAATCTCAGTATAACTTTGGGGCGGTGGGGTAGTCTTGTGGTTAAAGCGTTGGCTCGTCGCGCCGAACACCCGGGTTCGAATCCCCACATGGGTACAATGAGTGAAGCCCATTTCTGGTGTTCCCCATTTCTGGTGTCCCCCGCCGTGATATTGCTGGAATATTGCTAAAAGCGGCGTAAAACCAAACTCAGTCAGTCAGTCAGTAGTGTAACTTTGTTTTAATATTGAATTGCGTGACAAAACAATTTACTTTGAAATGTTGGGTTTTTATATTATGATCACCCTCTTTTGGTGATCGAAAACACGATCCGTGAAGATGTTGTTATAACCTGATCTTCAGAAACCCATGCTTGTGGTAACAAGCGATTAACGGGATCGGATGCTCGCTGACGTGGTTAATGCATATAATCGTATCCCAGTTGCATAGATCGATGCTAGTGACTGGCGTGTCTGGTCCAGGATCAATTATCTACAGACTGTCATCTTTTATTTGGAAAATTGCTGGGAGCGGCGTTACACACAGGACAACCAAACTGTCTTAGCTTGGAGTAGGTTGTCAAACTTAGGTTGGACATTTGGTGTTATAACATAATTCAGTATATACTCGGCGTCATTAATGAAGGGTCAAATGTTTGAAATATGTACAACTGAACGCTTTACAAACTTTCTTAACAGTGTGGTAAAACACATGGAGCCGTTGAAATGTCATTCTTTAACGTTCGATACATTCTGTTACAAATGGCACATTTTTTTATTCAAATAGTCAAGATGGAAATCCATCTGCCACTTAATGTCAGTGATTTGCACGTGCAAGTCGCTCCATCCATGGAAATTTTAGGACAATACACATGCATTCATGCTTTTTCACTGTCGTTCACTGATCAGGTACCTGTTTGAAATCGCAGCTAAAAATGAGACTTGCTGAAAGGGGTGAGACTATAGGCCTTTTGGAATCTGGTCAAACGGAGCGGCAGGTTGCTGTCCGCTTTAATGTGAGTCAGTGTGCTCTTGATAGACTGTGGCAGAGATTTCAAGCCAATGGGTCCCTGCACGTTGACCAGGTCGCCCTAGAGTCGCAACAGTCCGAGATGATAGGCACTGATTAACACTGCGTTACATAACAGATTCCTTAACGCAGCAGATCTTCAGACAGAGCACTTCAGTGTTAACAATGTAACCTGCAGTTCGTCCACCACTTACACAACTAATTAACGTCACTGGTCTCGTGACCTCTTCACATATGAAAGCAGATTCAATTTGTCCTTCTATGATGGTCGGCAGAGTATTTATCGTCGAAATGGACAGCGAATCATAGATGCAACTGTGGCCACGCATAACCGCTTTGGCGGGGGGTCGGTCATAGTTTGGGCAGGGATAACGCCTACTGGACGTACTCCACTGCACATGGTCGACGGTAATCTTACAGGACAGAGTTATCGGGACGAGATTCTGGCTTCAATAGCAGTATCATTACGGCAAGCTACGCATGGTTATTGAGGTCGATCCTCTTTACTGCAAGAACGCTAGGCCTCATAGGGCCAGGATTGTCACGGAATTCCTTAGGCAGCAGGGTGTAGAGCGGTTGGAGTGGAGTGTTCGCCAGACCTCAACCCAATTGAGCATGCCTTTGATGCTCCCACAACGCCACATATAGCTCTATAGTTTGGCATAAAATGAATGTGGACCCGGTTTTTTGTAAATATATCTTCATCTAATTATCCAATCGATCTCAAACTGTGCAAGTGGATGTTTTGTCAGACAACCTAATCACAATGTAAATCACCGATTTTATGCATTTGTATGAAAGAATCTGTCTATGTAACTGTCAACAAAATAAACAGCAGAACGCAGACTGCTTGCAGAGGGAGGGAGCCAATGACCTGTTACAGCGGCAGTGTTGGGTCATGAAGGTAAATAGTTCATGATAGTTACCTGTGCACTGCACAGTGATAGACCGTTTGGATCATTCACATTGACGACTTCTAGCTGTCATCATGAACGCTTATTCAGATGATGCTAAACGTTTAATTAGAAATGTGTTTAATTTTTTTTAAAAGAGAGCAAACGTAGCAAACCGATTTATAAGGTGTCGGATTACATGAAACGCACAACTTTTGCTCTTGGCATGACATTATGATGACACTTTTACTTCTATTACTTCTGAGAAACCTTTCATTACATGTGCTATATATATGTGCGCCTAGTGGCTGCAAGAGTTGTATCTCCCCAGGGAGTTGAGATTGATAATACAATGTGCCGTTGAGACTGACATCCAATCATCGAGGGAAGAAATACCAGCGCTTTGAGCATGCACTAGTTGCCTGGATATGTGCGCTATATAAATATCCTACAATAACAACAATAACATTGAACAATAATCTGACAAACCTACGCACGAAGTTGAACATAAACAACGTTAACAAAATATCAAGCTCAAGAAATGTAAAACAATAATCATAAACCATACAAAAGAAGTTACGTTTGATTTAAAGCAAAAAGTAGCTGTAGATGTAGGCAGTCAAACTGCATCTGTTTATAGTTTGTACAGCTATCTCTCATTGAGTCTTTGTATATATTTTCCCAGTGATACACATTAAGGGGTATATCTACGGAACACAACGTTTCAGAGAATTTCTTATTAATGAAGAAGTATACACTCTTCACCCGATGAAGGGGTAAGCATATTCTTCACTTGATGAAGGAGTAAGTATATTCATCACCCAATGAATGTGTAATTGTATGTATTCTTCACCTGGTAAAGGTGTAATTATATTCTTCACCTGATGAAGCAGTTAGAGGACAGCTGTTCACGTAATGAAGGTGTAAGAATATCCTTCTGAAGAAGGAGTAGGTATACTCTTCACCTGCTGAAGGAGTTGGTATATGCTTCACCCGATTGAGTAGGCATATTCTTCTCTAGAGTAAGGAGGAAGTTTATTCTACATCCGGTGAAGGGATTGCTATATTCTTCACCCTGTGAAGGAGGAAGTACATTCTACATCTGATGAAGGGATTGCTAAATTCTTCACCCGATGAAGGAGTAAGTATATTCTGCACCTGATGAAGGAGTTAGTATATTCTTTACCAAAGGTGTAATTATATATATTTTTCTTCTGATAAAGGAAGAAGTATATTCTTCACTTGGTGAAGGTGTAAGTATACTCTTCAGCTCATGAGGGTGAAAGCAGTAAGTGTACTCTTCACTTAAGGAAGGTGTTGATATATTTTTTGCCCGATTCGGGAGCTTGTATGTTTTTCCACCTCATGAGCGTGTATTATCTTCTTCATCTGATGAAGGAGTAAGCATAAACGTTGCCCGATGAAGGTGTGTGTATATTCGTTATCTGATGGAGTATCGATATTCTTCACCTGCTGATGTAGTATGTATATTGTCCACCTGGTAAAGGGGTATGTATATTCTGCCCCTGATGGAATGTCTATATTCTGCACCTGATGGAAAAAGTGTTTTCTTCATCGAATGAAAGAGGAAGTATATTCTTCATCTGATGAAGGAGTAAGAATATTCCTTGAAAGGTCTTGCTCCACATATTACAGAAATTGACCAGACCTGTGTAGGGGATCGTGGGTTTTGGTCAATGTGTCATTCTACAGCTTGGACTGTAATGCAAATAGGCATCCAATGTCGACACTGTCAGGTGGTATGTGTCCTCAGTAGAAACGTGAGTAACTACCATTTGTGCGAGACATTCAGAAAGTATCGCAAAGATACCTTTGAATGGTACATTTATTCTATTTTGGGATGAGCAAATGTTTGCAGTATCACAGTCTCAAACGTGTACAGTTTTCATATCAACATTTGTGTTGGAATAATCTGGTTCTTCCATTATCATGTCTCTTTTCTTTGAGAGTGAAAAGTATGAATAAACAGTATATTTATTGAATGTTTTACCTAACAGATACAAAGAATCCTATAACTCTCTGAATTTAAAAACGTTGATAAGAAATCATACACTGTTGCTTCAAGCTCGGTTATAGTGACCTTGACCTTGACATGTATAACAGACATATAACGGGCCGGCCAGTCTGTTCCTGTTGACATCACAACGAAAACACATCACACTATTTCTTCACGTATGTGAGGTATACAGTGATAGGAAGTAACGCGGATTTTTACTGCCATGATTGAAAACCATTATGAATGGACACATATATTTGACTACTTCTGGAAGGATGAACATTCTGGAGTCACGCCACTATTTCTATCACAAAGTCACGTTTCAAAGCATTCAATGACAAAATAATTTGAAGAAGAAAACATATTACAAATTTATCTGTACGTCAACCTTAATTCCATTAACTCTTCATACACAATATTGCACAGCAAACTGTACTGTAGCCAAATTACATATGTTAATCACTTGACAGCATGAAAACACCCATTCCCTCCACGTCCCATTCTGTCAAGGAAGTCTTAATTATAATTTAGATTTGATTCCTCCGAAAACAACGACGACTGGTCCAGTGCTGGACTTGATCATAAATATGTCTTCCAGTAATATGATGCTCCGGCAATCGTGGGATCACACGTGGACATCGGGCATGTTGGTGGTTCTGTGGAGCCAATTACAAATCGTCTGTCCACTCACTAAGACGCCTCTTCCTAGTCGACCAGATTAACATTTGTCATCAGCATTATTTCTGTGTGGTGATTGCAATCTGATAATTACATACTGTGAAACGAAGAGAGCTGTTAGCCACAAGGCTTTGTCTTGATCCGACTTTCTACATGAACGCTGTGTATAGCAGCTCCTGACAAGACAGATTTTGCCCATCAAAAAAACATTTAACTGAGTTTTTGTCAGTTTGTGAATCCTCATGTGTTTCTAAAGGTCACCTGCTTGTGTAAATTTTCCCCAGATTCAACACATTCATATGACTTGATTCGTGTGTGAATCTTAATGTGTTTCTTTTGACCACTTGATTGTGCAAATGTCTTCCCACATTCAACACATTCAAAAGGCTTTATTCCTGTGTGAATCCTCATGTGTGACTGCAGATGACTTGATTGTGTAAATGCTTTCCCACATTCAACACATTCGTAAGGTTTTACTCCGGTGTGAATCCTCATGTGTCTTTTAAGTTTCCCTGAAAGTGTAAATATTTTCTCACACACCATACACTGATAAGGTTTGATTCCACTGTGAACCCTCATGTGCTTGTGTAAATTTCCCCCTGATTCAACACAATCACATTCAACACTTGATTCGTGTGTGAATCTTTGTGTGTTTCTGCAGATGACTTGATTCTGTAAATGTTTTCCCACATTCAAGACATTCATAAGGCTTGATTCGTGTGTGAATCCTCATGTGTCCCTGCAGATGACTTGATTGTGTAAATTCTTTCCCACATTCAACACATTCATAAGGCTTGATTCCTGTGTGAGTCCTCATGTGTATCTGCAGATGACTTGATTCTGTAAATGTTTTCCCACATTCAACACATTCATGAGGCTTGATTCCTGTGTGAATCCTCATGTGTTTCTTACGGTTCCCTGAAAGTGTTGTTTCAACAGATCACCAGTTTCCATGGTTCCAATCCTCATGTGTTCTTTCATAAGGTTCATCTGAAAGTGTAAATGTGAATTCTTGATTCACTCACCATACACTGATAAGGTTCTTTCTTGTGAGATCACCTGATTCCAATGTAAATGTTTTACCACATACAACACATTCATAAGACTTGATTCCACTGTGAATCCTCATGTGTTTCTGCAGATTACCTGATTCTGTAAATGTTTTACCACATACAACACATTCATGGGACTTGATTCCAGTGTGAACCCTCATGTGTTTCTGCAGGTTACTTGGGGCTGTAAATGTTTTCTCACACACCAGGCACTGGTGAGGTTTGATTCCATTGTGAATCTCCATGTGTGTCAGCAGAACCAGGGTTCCAGTAACGGGTCTTTCCATTGTTTCAATTGTTTGAAGGGTTGCATTCATGTATTCTTTCATGGGACAGCATGATTCCAGTGTTCCATTAATGGGTTATTTCTTAACAGCACCTGTTTCCAAGTTGTCCAGCAAACCCCGTTAAAAGATTTTATTTGTTTCAATGACAGAGAAAGGATTTCTGTGGCTTGCGTTCAACTTCCTTCATTAACGGTGGATGTTATGGTGTTTACTGAAAACATAAGGAACATTGTCACACTCTTATAACAAGTAGGGCAGAGACCATACACAATATGATGGTATGACACGTAGCATGGTAACAAACCTGATACTGCATAAATGTCTTCCCACACATACAACACACTATAAACAACTTTGCGGAGTGATTTTCAAAAACCGGTTTTGAAAATGTCAACGGTGGGATGCATAATTATCCTCTCTGTTGCCTCACAATGGATTATATTCAGTTGATACGTTTACCATACTTTTACTTATGTTACATATTTAAGGGCTATGGCGAGTACATCATCCCAATCAAAACCAAAAACAATTAGATGTCCTGCAAAGCGACGTACAGGTGATATACACCACTGGGTACAATTTGGTTTAAAGCAATGAGTATATTCGATCATTATTCCGTTTTGCTCAATATTTTCATGTGCACACCCAGTTTAAAAACTCTGCATTGAAATAATTCTTCATGTGAGCATAATTAGGTCTGCCTTTCATCAATATATTTACATAATGATATTGCATGTACAAAATTAATGCCTTTCCATATATTTATATCATTTAGATGACAGATAGCAGGAGTGACACACCCTATCAATAAACACCAATTGCCCTTTATTAGCAGCTTCGGTTAATTTATTGTATTTTTAAGGATTATTTTGAGGGGTTTAGGGTTAATATTGTAGGTAGGTGTCGGGTGCAATGAATGTGAACCGACTCTCAAAATAATCCTAAAAAATAACATAAAATGATTGAAACTGGGGTTTAGGGTCAGCTAGGGACTTATCCAATATGGTAGGTAGGTGTCCGTGTAATGTATATGTACCATCCGTCAAAATAATCTTAAAAAATAACATAAACTGACTGAAGCTGTGAATAACTGAATATGGCGGAAAGGGTCCTGTGTAATGCATTTTCCGCTGGGTATCCTTAATCTGAATGATGAATGACAGCGAATGACGAATGTATTTTTGCACAATGAAGTCTCCCTTGTCATTCGTTATTCTTCAGTTAAATTATCCGTAGTATCACCTTCAGTAAATGGAATGACAAAGATATGAGGTAGAATGACAGAAAACACTGTCATTCTACTTTATATCACTGTCATTCCATTTTCTGAGGGTGATATTACTGATAACTTTACAGAAAACACAGTCATTCTACTTCATATCACTGTCATTCCATTTACTGAGGGTGATATTACTGATAACTTTACAGAAAACACTGTCATTCTACTTCATATCACTGTCATTCCATTTACTGAAGGTGATACTATCGATAGCTTAGCTGAAGAAAAACGAATGACAAGGGAGAACTCATTGTGCAAAAATACATTTGTCATTCAGAATTGGGAGAACTTTCTCCGCCGAAGTACGTACTATGCGTAAGGTAGTTCCGGATCACTAACGAAACAACGACTGCATGTGCCTACGCGAAAAGATGTCTTAAACGCCTAAAGGCAATTTCTGTCTTAGCAATGTTTCATGTTACTCACATCAAAATATGAAATCGATACGATCCTGATTTATTATAGAAAACTGGGAAAAGAAAAGCTGCGCCATTACGGCAGTTGCGAATCATTTCAGGGTATTCCGGATCACGTGACAAAACGAGGCAGTGTTTGGTTACTGGTGCATGTTTGGGGCCAGAAGGGGCTGTGTCAAACAGTAACGCGTGTTTAATTGAACAGATGCATGAACAATATTTATAATGGAGTCTCATTTACGAATAACAAACACTGCAGTTGATAACAGCACCTGCTAGGTAGATAGTTTTAACACTTGCTGCTCATTACAACACACACACATATTCCAGTATCAGGATTCCAGTTACCAACGTGGGCTAAAAATATTCTCTTGGGGTTTATACATATGTGGTTTAAGGTAATGGTATCTTCGATAGTCATATTCAGAAGTTAATCATACTAAGGGGTCGTAGTGTTTGTGGCTGATGAATTAGGTAAAATTCACTAGACGCAGATCTGTTGTGTATCTAATGTACTATTTTAATATTTTGACGTGGCTTTGACATGCGACTTTAACTTGTAAATTACAACTATCAACACAAAATAATCCATTTTCTTTCACAAACTGTAATGCTTTTATTCAGTTAATATGAGCTATTTATTATCGTGAGTTACTGAGAGTAATAATAATAAATTAATACTAACATATTTGAACTCTCTATGTGTGTGTATGTTCATATGTCCTAAAAAGAAACAAACTCGTGTCTATTCCAGTCTCATTGATTCCACCGCTGGCATAAGTAACAGGGCATTTTTAGTTGTCATAAAGCCCAGTCTCTGTAGCCGTGGTTAATCACGTAATGACAAGCATGACCACTCCTCCTCCTTTCTCTGCTGGTGCAGGCCAAGGGAGAGAACTTGGAACAGGTTCTCCAGCTGCTCAGCGAACACACTGTCACACATCAAGAATTCGCCTGAATGACCCTGCAAGACCTCTTAGCACATGACCAATGGGTAGACCAGCTACATCCTTAAGTACAAGATTACGCTTCACATCTGTAACCAAATTATGCATATCTACTGGAAAGGTTTCAGTTGAGGGTATCCAGACCAGACATGCATTTAGGTCATGAATATTTGTCTGTTCCCTGTCCACTGTAAGAGAAGTCACGGGATCTGTTAACGGGGTTCTAATTTTAAACTTATGATAGCCCTTGATCACACAGTTTTGAAGTCTTATTGGCTGCCTTGAAGGTGCATGATAAGATGCTGCCGGTCTTAGTGATTGAGACAGTAATGGACGGACAGGTACTGCAGCAGAGTCTTGTCTTAATGGTTGTGATGAAGACCCCACAGGAGTAACCTAGATACAAAGGAATATTGCTTGACTAAGATCAAAGGAGAGAAATGTAAAATTAATGCGTTTAGGCACACTTGTCTTGTTTAAATGCCTTGTCATGAGAACGTGACATACGTTTCAAACATGCAGTCTCTGGGTGATGTAAATTACTTGCAAAACTTATTTTGACAACATGTAATGACGATACATACATTTATGGAATAGGTTTGAATGTCAAGTTAAAATGTACTCCAAGCGTTGTAAATAATACAAGGCCTACTTCTAGTCGGAAAAAACAATGCACAATCCCTTCTTTTAGAAATACGTATTAGTGAAAGTTATGTAATGTTTCTCTTTGTAAAGGATCTAATATAGTGTCAATGTGATATACCTAGTGTTTAGTACGATTCTCACACAAAGGACACATGAAATGATCATCAGCTGAAACATTGGGATGAGTTGAGCAGTGTGAATGTATCCATCCCTTGCAAGAAACACATTCCACCCAAACGTGACTGTATTGAGCTATACTGTATCTGTACTGTATATGTATACTGTAGCTATGTTTGTATCATACAAAAATACATAAAGTTATTAAACAAAAGAATTATATGAGTTGGAAAGAACAATCTTTTCAACACCTAAGCGTTGTGAAGTTGGTTATTTTCAAGTATTGATAACCCTTTACCTTGCATACTCTTATGTACAGCAAATTGCGAAACAGGTGAAATGAAGATTAACAAATGTTACGTATCTACTTTGTGCAAATTACATCCTCCACAGACCCTAAAGTAAGTATATGTTTTAAATAAAAGGAACCGATGTAACATCGTAAAAATAATTACTTTATTTCAACAGTTATTAACATTTGTCGGCAGTTGAAGGTTTTGAGATGATCCCTATATTCTGGTGATCCGGAACTGACTTAACCACGTGGTCCCATAAATTGCTTATTTCTCTAGAAATATGGCAGATGTAAATAATATTTTTGTTGCTTTATAAAGGTGAAATGTACATGTATGCAATGGAATGTTAACATTTAGCAACTTGATTCTGTTGTTATGTCACACGGGCAGTCCCGAATGAGTTACCTTTTCCTGACGTGCCAACGACAGATGACGCGATGATAGGTGTCCTCGTTACAGGGCGCGCAAGTAAACTTCCGGTTCAGACCAAGTGAAACAAAATATCCTTTATGATATTCAAATATCTGACGGATTAACCTCGTGTTTCACCCGCGACAGCAGGCTCTGAGTTCGTTAAGCTACGCCAAAGATCCTGAATCTTGAAGTGGCGTCATCAGTTTTCGTTCACTTCATTGGTTCTCCGTGAAAACACGAATGTAATCGCAGTATTAGTGCTATGCTGATATTTTTATAATATAAAGTTAATAAACATCCAGTCCAAAAGAATATTTGTAATAGTTCCAATAATAATATTAGAAACTATGGTCGTTATAATTTCATGTCAAAGTTAATCATGATAAGACTTCGCTAGTTACATCACATGTCCAGGCATGTTTCACTCTCCTCCGGTTAAGCTGACAAAGGGCACCAAAACTCATCAGAAGATCTCACTACACACATACGGAGGTGCACAGCTTGAGGTGGACCCAATGACAGCATGCAGGATGAGTACACTGGGCCCATGACACAGAAATATATCAATTGCAGTTTCGAAAATTAAAATCATTTTGAAGAACACTGCCGACACGGCTTTAAAATAACATATCATTTGAGTGTATAAATCCATTGAGGTTTACGGTTTCCAGGTGTTAATGTACGTGGAAGTGGTCCGGAATACCCGTGATCCGGAATACCCTTACCCGCTGTATCTCTGTTTACATTTCGCCTTTGTACTGACTTCCGTCCGTCGAAACAGTGAAAAATGACGCTTTCCGTCACTGAATGTAACAATCGGCGTTGTTGTCGCGATGAATAAACGCCTGTGTCAATAGTTCTTTTCTTCTTCTTATATTTAGTAAATATATGGCTGATACAACGACGTTGTCAGGAGGAAGCAGCTAATTCGACCCGAATTATTGCGAATAAGCATTGTCGACAGTGGACAGGTGGAGATAGCGAACGGTAACATGGACATAACGATCACCAACAAAGGAGACACTTCATAGAGTAGATGTTACTGAATGCTCTACCTTCGAAGGCATTCCATTTGTAATCGGTTGCATTTACTTACGTTCAAGTGCCACCACAATGCAGCGATGTACGACCTCTCGGCTTCGGGGTGAAACTATAGTATACAATGTACAACTACCAGTGTTTCCATTGCGAGCGAGGCTGTAGCTATTTTTAGAAGAGAATAGTTTCCTGCCTCTCTCTTCAGCGACCTGGTACCTTGGCGGCTCCCTAATAGTTAGCGAAATCAGTGTAGCGCCAGCGCAGAATACCCAGGGGTATAGGCTG